TCTCGCTCTGTCACCCAGGCTGGAGTGCAGTGGTACAATCTTGGCTCCCTGCAAGTTCCGCCTCCCGGGTTCACGCCATTCTCCTGCCTCAGCCTCCTGAGTAGCTGGGACTACAGGCACCCGCCACTATGCCTGGCTAATTTTTTGTATTTTTAGTAGACACGGGGTTTCACTGGGTTAGCCAGGATGGTCTCGATCTCCTGACCTCGTGATCCATCTGCCTCGGCCTCCCAAAGTGCTAGGATTACAGGCGTGAGCCACCGCGCCTGGCCAGGTTTTATCTTTCTAATAATTCAGCTAAACCTGGGTTAGTGATTCTCAATGGAGGCAGAAAGCCCAATTTTGAGGACCTCTGCCAGAGTGAGCCATGATTACATTTAGGAGCATATGGCATGCTTTTGTGGTTTTAAGGCTATACAAAAAGGTGATAAACACTATTTTATTTATTTATTTATTTATTTATTTATTTATTGAGAAGTGTCTTGCTCTGTCACCCATATTGGAGTGCAGAGGTGCTATCACGGCTCACTGCAGTCTCCACTCCCCCTTCACCCCTGGGCTCAAGCAATCCTCCCACCTCAGCCTCCTGAGTAGCTGGGACTACAGAAGTGCACCACTGCACCACCATGCCCAGCTAACTTTGTATTTTTGGTAGCGACAGTGTTTTGCCATGTTACCCAGGTGAGTCTTGAACTCCTGGGCTCAAGTGATCTGCCTGCCTCAGGCTCCCAAAGTTCTGGGATTACAGGCATGAGCCACCACGCCCGGCTAATAAACACTATTTTAAAGGATTTTGAGTGGGGTGTGGGAGTGTGTTTTTAAGGAAAATATTCCTCTCCCCTGTCCAGGAAATATTTTCGTAAGCCCAATATGTAACTAGGTGAAAATCCAGCTATTCTAGTTGAAATGGAGATGAAAGTCCAGGAATTACATCTGGCAATGCTGCCCCATTGTTTTACCCATCTGCAATCCCCGAGCAGAGGTGCTCCCTAGAACCCTTAAGGCTCCAAGGCATTGCCTTGTGATTTAAGCAAAGTGCTGAGATGGGATACTCCCTCCAGCTTCTCCAAGAATAGTTTATTTATTTATTTATTTATTTTATCATATTGAGTTTCTTGTAATATTTCCATTGAGGAAAGGTTGCATGGATTTTTTTATTTTTAAGTTCAGCAGCCACTGTTCTAGAGGAAGGACTTAGCTGCATAGCCTTTGGGTAATACCTCATCAGGTGAGCTTGGGAAAGTAAAGAGTTAGGGACTATACCCCTTACCCCTTCTCCATCCCCCCAGGCAGCTATCCACAGTCAGCAAAATTGGCTATCCCTAGTGCTAGAAATTGTCCATCATAGAAAACTTCTCTCCACCTCTTCTTCCTCCATCCAGAGAGCAGTTGTAGTGGTTGCTTCTTAACCCTCCACTTCTCCTTCTGTTTCCCATTTCCTCTTCTAGTAGTTTGAGGGGGAATCCCCAAGCCCTTCCCTACCTCTTCTTCTTCTTTCTTTTTTTTTTTTTCTTTTTTTGAGATGGAGTCTCACTTTGTCACTCAGGCTGGAGTCCAGTGGTGCGATCTCAGCTCACTGCAACCTCTGCCTCCTGGGTTCAAGTGATTCTCCTGCCTCAACCTCCCGAGTACAGGTGCCTGCCACCACATCCGGCTGATTTTTGTTTTTTTTTAGTAGAAACGAGGTTTCACCATGTTGGCCAGGCTGGTCTTGAACTCCTGACCTCAGGTGATCCACCTGCCTTGGCCTCCCAAAGTATTGAGATTACAGGCGTGAGCCAGCGTGCCCGGCCCTTCCCTACTTCTTAACCATTTCCATAGGCTAGAAGAAAATATCTCCATTGTTGGTGTGCTGCTACCAGGCTTCTTTCCTCTCAGAGGAAGAAACCTCTCAGACATAGGAAATCCTGCCTCATAATCCAATGACTCAAACTCTGAGCCACCTTCAATGTTCCAAGGTCAGAATCCCAGACAGTCCGTCTCTCCCCTACAAAGAAGGATTTGACCAAGAGAGAAGAGTACCATGGGTGCCACAAAACCATTGTAAGTGGCAAGGTATTTGGGGAACTTGACAGGGAAGAGAGAAGATTTTGCATGTGATAATAGAAAATATTTAATGGGAAGGAGAGGAGTGAGTAACCCTGAGAAAAGAGAAAATGAGATTGCCTTCTGAGTCTCAAAGTGCTAAGTAAACACTTGGTACATCAGAGATGAGGCATGCATATTATCCCTAAAGAATTACAAAAATGAGATGGGGTGGTGTGAACAGCTCTCAAAAGAGTCAGTATAAGAGAATGTACCTCAACACAATAAAATCTATCTATGACAAGCCCACAGCTAATATTATACTCAATGGAGAAAAGTTGAAAGCTTTTCTTCAAATATCAGAAACGCAACAAGGATGTCCACTTTCACTACTCCTTTTCAATGTAGTTCTCGAAGTCCTAGCCAGAGCAATTATTCAAGAGAAAGAAATAAAAGCCATCTTAATAGGAAAGGAAGAAGTGAAATTGTCTTCATTTGCTGATGAAATGATCCTCTATATATTAAAAAAACCCTAAAAATCAAAAACCCTTAGAACTGATTAAAAAAATTCCATAAAGTTGCAGGATACAAAATCAACATACACAAATTAGTAGCATTTCTGTATGCTAATAACAAGCTATCCAAAAAGAAAATTAAGAATGATCCCATTTACAATAGCAACAAAAGATAAAATAAAATAGTGAGATGTAAATTTAACTAAGGAGGTGAAAGACTTGTATACTGAAAACTATAAAACAC